AAACAAACAAAATGGCCGATTGTTCAGAAGTGTTTTCGCTGTAATATCTGCAAGTTTCAGACCATTTCACGCTTTAAAAGTCGACTAAAAAATCGCCAAACATGAGTCCAAACGTACGTCCAAAATAAGGTAAGATGACCAAATATGGCTGAGAAACGAAGGACAACTTTTCTGAGGCTATTCATTGGTATGCAGTGTGTCAAGAATTTGTATACAAGCTTTAATACATGTACTATAAACTGACTTTTGATTACTGTGCGTCCAGTACAAAGTGACTAAAACACCACATGAGTACACACGACCATTAATAGTCCAGGAAATCTCCTTGTCAAAATTACACAGGAAGAGCCCTTCTCAGCCACAGCAAATGACTTTTCCAGCTACTGTGCAAATACCATTTTCAAAGAATAACTTTCAGCTGATATAGCGAGTGATTCTAGATCAATTTTCGGGTTCCCTGCTCAACTGCCAACAAAGGTAGCCCACACTTATTGTCAATTAGCGTGATCTTGTCGTTATCTGCTCCTTCGCTTTTATAAGAAATGACTTACTATTGCACTTCGATCGCGATCAATTTGATAAGATACCCATAAATCACCATCATGGGCACGAAAAACTTGCCACATCACAATACCGTTTGCATTTGGTAGACGTACCTTCGTAACTTCAAAAAAGCGCAAAAAAATAAGTAAATAAATAAATAAATAAAATAATAAATAAAGATTTTTGTCCGCATCGCATGGATTTACGTGACTAAACCTCACACTGTTTTAAAATAGTTTGACATTATTTTAATCAATAATGGAAACTTACATATTCTGTGGTGTTACTCTACGTCAGATCGTTTTCGAAAGCTAGTAAAAGTTTCTACATCCTATAAAAACTAAATGACAGAACAAGAGTCTTAGTGTTCCACACAAGAAAAGTACAACTATTATCTATAGCCAACAACGAATACATCGCTCCAATCCTGGCCTGCGAGTGTTCCTGCAATGCTTGTCTTCTTCTGTTCGTCGCACTTAGAATGATACAACTTTATTCTCAACTGTGCATCATTTGGGATTGGGAACCACAGGTTGACGGAGTTGACAACACTGACGCTTGGTCCAGTGGCGACATTCATGTACTGTACAAGATCTTTTCCATCATTAGCCTTGCAAGAGATTTCATAGTACCCTCGCTGGAACTCGTCTCCTTCTCCCATAGATGTAATGAATGCATAGACAAGGAACTCTTTGGCATTCGCTCCTGAAGGAAGAGCTTCATTGAGATTGTAGCAAGCAACTTTATTGTTGAATTCTGGCAGTTTTCCCAGGGACTTCGGTGATTCTATGGGTGTCCATCCACATTCCATGATCGTATGAATAATCTTTCTCAGAACTTGCTTTCTTTAACGAGCTGTAGCTTGTTTGATTCAAGCCTGCGAGGTTGTGTCTCTTATAAACAACYCCCTCCAAACACTCGGAATAACATCCAATGAAATAACATCCACGTGGCTTCCAAAAGAACTTAGGTTTCAACCCACTCAAAATGAATTGACATACGCATTAAGACGAAAAAAGATTTTTGACCCAGAAAAAAATGTCAATCTTAGCCTGGACATTGGAAACTGTCTCAGCTTACATTTGGCAAATTGACAACTATAACTAAACATGAACTCAGTCTTGAACTGTTAAAAATACCGATATTTGCTCAAGTTTTAGAACTAAAAGATAAATGGCTTGCAAAATTTGTCTACAATTGAAAATTTTCGCGATTTCTGATTGATCGCGAGAGTCGTGGTAAATATTCCGGGGTGGATCCATGATTTTTTTAAGGGGTTTGCACTAAAATGGCGCGAACTTCTGCCCGGAAATTTGCGTGACGGATTAGTTTGGAGAACGTATCAAATATAAACTTCCCACTAAAATTAGCGAATTAATGAGAAAACTAAGTAATACACTTGTTATTTTTCAATTTAGAAGATTTGTTTATTTTAAAAACATGTACGAGAATTTAGTTTTTCGTCCTCCTCCTCACCCCAAATTTTGACGATACGATGACGACAGACGTCATGGTACCGCAAGAAACTATTCTATTCTGGCTCGTCATGATCACTTACTAGCACACCATGCGAGCGAAGAAAGTTTGTGAAACTGATCCTACGTATGTATGCGTAGTCTCAAGACCAGGCGACATTTGCACGTGAAAGCCAAACTCACTGAGTAAGCTTAAATTTAAAAAAAAACTTTTATTCATTTATTTTTAAATCAATATTTGTTGAATTTTATTCAGTTTTGCGACTTTCAGCAGCATGTTCACTAGAATATTATTTGCATTGAATTGAAATTGAAATATATTATTAATTTTGTTTGCTTTAGTTTGTCCATATAAAAAAAGAACGTTGGCACGATAAAATCATATCTCCAAGCCACCGTGTACCGTGTAATATCCAGGAAGGCCTATATTCCATATCTATGCCGCAACACCAGTTCAGACCTCATATATTCGTATATTTTCGACCAAAACACCATTTTTTTTATTTTGACATTTTTTAAAATCTATCTCAGATCGTTTCAAGTTGCACGGCTCAAATGCGTGTTTTTTCACGAGACTTCTCGTTGAGTCCAAGAGGCTATCTTATGTAAACTTGCGCCTAAATCATCTTTCCGAGAAACGTGAGGACTTAATTGATTGATTGATAAACTTGTGATAGAGATTTTTGTTTTATGCTTGATATGTTTGATTGTAAATCTAAATACCTCCAGTAGAGGTCAGTTTTTCGATTGATAAACCCGGCATAAGTTCGTATATCACTATGCTGATTTGGCGTCGAAAATATTCTCTGCAGCACCTAAAAGACATCTGATTAACTTTAGCTCTTCACGGCCTCTTGAAAAAACCTCTTGAACCAGGATAGTATTAATAATTCGCTGCTTTACTAAATTACTGTCGACAGGTGATCTTGGTTTTGTTTATGATCCAGCGATATTGTTAACATTGTTATGTAAGGTTATTACTTGAAAGACGTTAGTTTTATGGTTAAGCGCACTATAAGCTTCAAGTGGGAGTCATAGTTGTTCTATTGACATTGACGCATTGCTTTTGCTGATTTGGCATCAAAATCAGTGACATTATGTATATCAACTCCTAAAATAGCTTTTATCAACAATAGCTCTTCCTGGCCTGACAGACAGTCGGCGTTTCTAGCCAAGAGCAGGATCAAAGTCTAAAATCACATCAACGTTCTCAATTCCAGAACCAATCGACAATCAATCGGACCGATTTATGATTCATTTAAATCACTTAAGCGAAGACGCATTGAAATTTTAGCGAACCGGCACAAAAGAACGGCARCGAACTTTCAAGAGAGTGAAGGAACACTCATTAGCGTTTTCGCTCAAACAATAAACAAAAGCACACATTCAATACCATGTTTTGGACCTTACGCAATAGTCTATGAGGGTCCAAATAGGGTTATCTAAATCTCAGTTAAATATTGTTTTTTTTTTCGATTCTCAGTTAATTGCTAATTGGAAATATACGGTGTAAAGAGGTATTTCGAGAAACGTTGAATACTAGTCACTGCATGGCGTATTCCGAGTACGTCAGCGGCGTTACAAAATTAAAAATTCTAAGTTAAATCATAGTTAATAACTATGGTTAAATTCATTGCTGTTCATCGATAGCGAAGGAACATTCATTTAAGCGAGAGACTTTTGTCATTATAGCGAAAAGGCCTACATGAAAGCCAACGAACTCTCAAGAGTGGAACTTTCATTAGCGCTAATTGTAAACACTAAACAAAAGGAAGCATTCAATACCGTGCCTGGACATTTGCGCAATAGTATACATTGTGTTTAAAGTATTCTTGTATTGCGTAAACAAGTGTACGAAATACATTATTGGATACGTGCTTAAAACGTCAGTGTATGTGGCAATCTCAAACCTTTTGGAAACCACGTGGATGCAATTTCATTGGATAATATTCCGACAGTTTGCAAGGAGTTTTCTTTAAGAGACACAACCTCGCAGGCTTGAATCAAACAAGCTACAGCTCGTTAAGAAAGCAAGTTCTGAKAAAGATTATTCACTAAAAGATAAGACCATGGAATGGACACCCATAGAATCACCGAAGTCCCTGGGAAAACTGCCAGAATTCAACAATAAAGTGGCTTGCTACAATCTCAATGAAGCTCTTCCTTCAGGAGTGAATGCCAAAGAATTCCTTGTCTATGCATTCATTACATCTATGGGAGAAGGAGACGAGTTCCAGCGAGGGTACTATGAAATCTCTTGCAAGGCTAATGATGGAAAAGATCTTGTGCAGTACATGAATGTCGCYACTGGACCAAGCGTCAGTGTTGTCAACTCCGTCAACCTGTGGTTCCCAATCCCAAATGATGCACAGTTGAGAATAAAGTTGTATCATTCTAAGTGCGACGAACAGAAGAAGACAAGCATTGCAGGAACACTCGCAGGCCAGGATTGGAGCGATGTATTCGTTGTTGGCTATAGATAATAGTTGTACTTTTCTTTTGTGGAACACTAAAGACTCTAATGGTGTTGTTTAGGTTCGAATATAAAAGGATGAAGAACTTTAAAATGACGTAGAGTTACACTTCAGATGATGTAAATTTGCCTGATTAAAATAATGTCAAACCACTGTACAGATTTAGTCACGTAAATCCATGCGATGCAGTCTTATGCGGACGATAACTGGTTTTTTTTTTTCGTTTTTTTTCCTCTTCAAGAAGAGTAAAACGCTCGATTGCACTGTTATCTCAAAACGCCCTTTGTCGGGCAAGGAAGAGCTAGTCTTAATCAGATGTCTTTTATTAGGGGTTGCAAATGACATCTCGACGTCAAATCAGAAGAAGTGGTCTGAAATTAGGTACTACGCATATTTATATCGGGAGGGGACTTGAGAAATGAGCCAAAAAATCAAAAACGTTAATTACTACCCCCTTCGCAAGCTTATAATAAGTATTTGGCCAAAAAACACAGATGATCTGACACCGTTTGAGTTTCACTTTCCAATTAAAGTTCTAGTTACTGTTTTAGACAATGCCCCCCCCCCTCTGGATTCTCATCCCCACTCTCCCCAACTCCTGATAGATATTTATCAATTCAGCAACTGACTTCTACTTCGTGCATGTACATCGTGAGAAACCTTGTGTACAACATCAGTGACCGTGTATAT